TGATGCTTGCTGTATGTTTGGAATTTGCACGTTCTCCCCGTGGTTGTGTGAAATTGTCTCTGGGTACGCCAGATTTCCCTCCACATCTAGAAACATGCGTTAAGAGTATGTGGCTGCTATAAATGTCCACGTGATAAGCCACTTTGTTCAGCTAACATTTGTGACCAGGTCACTTCTGAAAAAGAGCTATACGGCTAAGTGGGCCTTACCAAGTCCAGTATGTCATCACCGTCACTCCATGGCAGCTTATAACAAATATAGTTCGTTTTTGTTTTAATCCCTAAGCATGCTTCACTACATCAGAGCACTGCATCCTCGATGCTTTGTGGCGTGTGTTTTTTCAATGCACGCACATGTACACCCTGTTATTGTTTTTGTCAATCCACTGCTGGATGACTGTCCCACCATGCCTTGCGTGGCCGTGAGGGTTATTCGACCAGGCTTCACCATGCCGCTCTGCTCACTTGCGGGCTGGAGAAGGTATAGGGCAGAGGTCGCAAACGGGTTTTGATTCCTTACCCGTACCCCTACCCGGCCGCATCAGGGTCGCAAATGGGTACCCGTACCCGGCCGGGTACGGGTAGCCGTTCCCTACCCGTACCCGTACCCTACCCGAAATGAGTGACAAACGGCTACTCACCAGTAACTCACGGCCTACCCATACCCGTACCCGGCCGCACCAGGGTCGCAAACGGCTAACCGTACCCGTACCCGGCCGGGTACGGGTAGCCGGGTATCGGGTAGGGTACGGGTATCGGGTACCCGGTTGCGACCTCATGTGTAGGGGAGGGTCGAGGGGAGGTGCAGAACAACAACGGATGTTGCCCTCTGCTGCCCACAACGCATGTGACAAATCTGACTTTAGCGGCGCATGGCGGTCACCCATCCGAGAAATCCAAAGAACTGTGCAGGCTCAATCCCGCTTAGCTTCCAAGCAAGGTCTGACGAGTTCGGGCGCGTTCCAGGGGTGACTTGGTCACAGCGCTCGCTCTCTTTAATGCGGCAATGCAACGGCGGGTGGAGGCTGCGCACTCCACCGAGCCCTGCTTCAACGGTGACACCGCAGAGGCCACGCTCCTCAGAGTGGCGCCCCTTTCACGCGGCGGGGTGGGCGGGTGGGATAAATGATTCATGGCAGGTGCCTTGTTACGTGCACTTCGCGGACGCGTGCGCGTGAAAATCGCCACCGCAAGCTCAATGCTCACAGCCCCCCACCCCTCCATATCTCTACCCCCCCCCGTCCGCCCCCATGGCCCCCCACTCCAACCACAACGGAACACGCACTCTACTCACCGAGCGTGCAACCGCGGCAATGAGCTCTGATATAATAACTACAGCAGGAGGTGTTCCTCGGGCAACAACCTTGAGCCCAAAGGAATCCCACAGATGCCGTGGTCTGACTCAGAGAGCCTCGGGCATAGGTACTGAACGCTAACAATCCCATGGGTGGATTGGTCTGAATCTGTGATAGCCTGGGACGAGTGGGGTCGGCAACCAAAATAACAAGAAGAGACATTTTTGTTCGAATTCGGTAAAAAAAAACCTTAATATTTCAAGAGCCGCAACGCAATGTGGTGAATAGGAGACACGGTGGTCCCTTAATGCATAACGTCACGAATCAGTATTTAAAGAGTCGCACGCGGATCAGGAGCCACAAGTTGCCGACCCCTGCCCATGGTAAACTGGACTCCCATGGTAAACTGGACATCCATGGTAAACTGCACTCCCATGGTAAACTGACCTCCCATGGAAAACTGGACTCCCATGGTAAACTGACTTCCCATGGTAAACTGGACTCCCATGGTAAACTGACCTCTCATGGTAAACTGGACTCCCATGGTAAACTGACCTCCCATGGTAAACTGACCTCCCATGGTAAACTGGTCTCCCACGGTAAACTGGACTCCCATGGTAAACTGGACTTCCATGGTAAACTGCACTCCCATGGTAAACTGGACTCCCATGGTAAACTGGACTCTCATGGTGGACTGGACTCCCATGGTAAACTGGACTCCCATGGTGAAATGGGCTCCCATGGTCAGGGGTCAGTAACCAAAATAGCAAAAACAGCCATTTTGTACAAAACTCAATATTTCAACAGCCGCAATGCACGTGAATACGAGACGGTTGTCCTTAATAAGTAACGTCCACGAAGCGGCAGTCCTTAAAGAGCCGCATGCGGCTTCGGAGCCTCAGGTCACTCTCGTAAAAACACCGTAAGAATCGCAAAGGTGCCTTCGTCTGACTCTCTGAGCTTTGGGTAAACACATTCCTGCGGAGGGAGCTGGTGGGAACGTTGGATTGCTCGGTCAATCGCCAGGGTCAACGGCGGCGTGGTGTATTCCGCAAATATGCCCGACTGAGGGCGGGCACAAGTCGGCGTGAGTAGGTTAAACGTTGAGTTTTATAGGGGCACCACGGGGTGACCAGCCCCTCCCCACCCAGCCCCACCCTCCCACCCCCACCCAGCCCCACCCTCCCCACCCAGCCCCTCCCCACCCTCCCCACCCAGCCCCTCCCCACCCTCCCACTCCCCACCCAGCCCCTCCCCACCCTCCACACCCAGCCCCTCCCCACCCTCCCCTCCCCACCCAGCCCCTCCCTGCCCACCCAGCCCCTCCCTGCACGACGGACACAATAATCCCCTGTGGGCTGGTGTAACCAGGACGTTCCTACTAGTATAACACTGAGCGTTAACAATCCTCAAGTTGCCGGGTCTGAATCTGTGAGGATGGAACATTAAGATTAAACTCCAAGTATATGATGACAGTCGCCTTAATCTGACTCAGTGAGCCTCAGGCATTAACGCTCAACTTTAACGATCACAATGTTCTCTTAGTCCAACTCTGTGAGCCTGTCAGATGTTCCCCGACGACAACTTCCCTCTCAAAACTCTACAATATCCTGAACTGGTTCACACAAAATAAGCAACCCTACAGCCTCCGGCAAGTTGAATTGGATTTTCTTAAAACGTACAACCGCTCTCCGCACACGTCATGCAGCTGCGCTATTTGCCTATTATGCGAACACGAAATCCATCGAGATGGCGAAATATTAACACTTCATGTATGAACTGTGCCTCTCTGCAGACTCCATGCACGGAAAGTAATGTTCTGTTGTGTGTCTTGGAGAACGGCACATGCCGTATGCGTGCGTACAGGGTGTGCATAAAGGTGTCATTCATTATTGAAGAATTATAATGAGACTGCTGTTTGAGCAAGGTCAACGAAACGATGCGCGCGCGCACACACACTCTCACACGCCTGGTAGTCCGTAGGCTTTCTCATACGAGTCTCAATTTTATACGTAGGCTTTCGCGACCAACGCTATGATTCGTGGTGATTTTTTTGTGGGCATTAGTTCGTGTAAGAATGTGCCGCAAGCCCTCCTCCGCCCGACAGAGCCATATTCAGAGTCACTTGAATCAAGCGTGCCAAACGCATTTCTGATTCTCTCTCTCTTAAAGCCTCCACTCTTCTTGCGTTACGAAATTCTCGTCATTTGCCCCTGCACTCCTTCCCGTCCCTCCCCTACTTTGGCGTGATCCCTAAGTGCCCTCTATGATTGTCACTCATTCCCCAATCCTTGCACGCACCTGCCATAAAAAATCACCCTATTCAGCCACCGTTTTTGAAACAATGTCAAGCGCCTTGAGCGAAGAAGGCACTTGACGCTTGGTGCGAAAGAAGTTCAACCTACATACATTAATTCAGCAGAACCACCGATGTTAGAGAGTAATATCACGAAAAATGTGATGTGTAAACTATCTAACTATTTTTTTTATTTTACCAGGTGAGGCCCACTGAGCTCTTTTCCAAAAGCCACCTGGCCACACGTGATAGATCTACGAAGCGAATGATCACGTGCAAATTTATATCCAAATTTATATCTGCCAACTATTTTAAACACATGTTTCTAAATGTGTAGGGACAAAACCACGGCACCTGGAGAAAAATCCACGCGACCACGGGAGAGGACATGCAAAATCAAATTATACAGAGGTCAGGTTTGGGATTGAACTCATTACCTCCTATATATGAGTCTATATACAGTCTCAGTTGTTGAAACCTCGACGCGTCCGCTAAGGCACTTGCCAGACGCATCATGTCGAGATTTCGAAAGAGTCCCATGTGCTCCCCCCAATATCTCTGCTGCGATTGTTTCCGACGCTCCTGTCGACCGTGCTGTTGAGGATTACTCGAGTGTTTCATGTTTAATGGAAGCTCAAGTATATTAATGAATATGCTGGCAACATTTCAACGATGCACTTCGAATGGCTGTCCAATTATAATGCATCAATAATGGATGAGACCTTTTGTGGAAACCCCGTAAAAGCAACGCCTTCGAGTAATGAAACTGGGCACGTTTGCCCACGCGTAGTTCCACGCAAACGCCCGGCGATGTGGCGGCACCACGTGATCACAACACAACACGACACAATTCACGTCCCATTGTAAGGCTTACTGATCGACGACGGCCTCCTCTCGCTCGGGTTTGCTCGACAACGCTTCACCCACCGCGCTGGTTAGTGAAGGATCGAGATCACCTCGGATCGGATAACCACCCGCCACTGACGTTAGCCGTGGCCTCGAAATCAAACCGATGCTGGTGTGCAAGTGGCTCGGCGCGCTAACCCGCTGCAACGCCACTGATGGATGACGGTTTAGCCACGTGGGTCTCGTGGTGAACAGCGATAGAGGTGGTGGGTTCGTAATGCGCATCTGCCCATTGCGTAGTTTCGATGTCCTTCCACCCCCGCACCTCCGATTGGCACGGTTGGCTAGATGCGGTGCGAAAAAAGTTCAACATCCATACACTGCCCCATAAATGGTTACGATACAAAGAGGCACGAACACCATACCCGTGCATCAATCAAATCCTGACGGCGTTGAATGGATTACCGAGGCCAACGTAGCTGTTCCTCCAACGCCATACATAAGAGAGAGAGAAGGGGGGGGGGTGTGCACACAGGAGCGGCGAGTGTCTTGTGGATCCCTTACCTTGGAAGAGGTAGGCACCGCTGCTGGGGTAGAGGCCGTGAACCGACTGCACGCCGTCAGTCTCGTTGTGGAGTCCCATCTCGGCCATGACCTCCACCTGCAGCGTGGAGTCGCCCGCCACCCCAAGTGCTGGAGCAGCAGCAAGAACGGCAAAGAAATGTGGTGACGATTCCGCGGCGAGTCGCAATCAAGCCGCAGGAACACTAAAACTCTTAGGTTTTGTCGGTAAAGTCACGTAGGTAAAACATAATGAAATTTAAATTAATAAAAGTAATAATAAAAATCCAATAATAAATCACGACGTTTCGGAGGCACAGCTCGATTTATACTTTCACCAGGCTCACTGTTCATGAACTCTTGGAAGTGCTTGCACAAAGGATAGTAACATCTCATCCTGTGTTCTTTGGAATCTGAATTTGATACAGTAAATCTATCTAGATTTACTTGATACAGTAAATCTTTACTAAATCTAGCTAGATTTACTGTATCAAGTCAATCTAGCTGTGACGGTCCCACCTGATGACGGAGACTTGTGTTGCCTCCGAAACGTCGTGATTTATTATTTTATTTTCATTATTATTTTTATTAATTTTAATTTTATTATTTTTTTACCTACGTGACTTTACCGAAAAAACCTAAGAGTATAAATCCTTGCAGTGACGAAAAGTTCAAATCAAGAAGGAACACTCAAACCTGGGCCTTGTGGGGCACGATTCTAGTCGGTAAATTAAGTCGAGAGATGAATTGCGAATGATGAGCCATGCTTCATTGACTGCACTTGGGACCCCAGTTCGATTCCTGGCAGTGAACACAGATTAGCCAATGGCTATCTCAACCTGGGCCTGGACCTCTCTACCTCTCTGATAGGCGCATGCACTCGGCGGCTTGTAAAGGCGCCGAGTCTCTGGAGAGACACATGCCACTGGGACTTTCCGTGTGCGTGGTGCTTGCCTCGCCACCACCATGACACCAGTGTGGTGTGGCACGCGTGCCGACTTGAATAGAACTTCGCTAACAGCCTATCCAGGCTGTGCATCAGACTTGGCGTTGGGTCTTCTTGGCGTGAGATTGATTTTAAAACGTGTGAACAGATTAACGCGTGCACTCTGTACTTGAAGCATTGCCCCGATACATCAAGTTCCATTAAGATAATTAAAGATGTCTAAATATAATGCGTGCCCGCCGCTGGTTCTAATCGCTTTCTTTCCACTGCTCCAGCCTCCTACCTGTGCACTTAACAATAATGTGCACGCTCCTGCCGTGCAATGCGCCTGCTCCACTAATCAATACAGCGAAAAATTATCAATCATGAACACATCCATTAATGTAATTGATCATAACGCTAAGTGTTCATCCTCCATCGAATTCCAGCGGGGTTTTTTAGCTCGCTGCTAAAAAAATGCAACTCGTGAAGTGCATTTAATCATTTAATTTTAATTCCTTATATAACGAATATAAAAAGCTGTACAAAGGTGAAAGCGCAGCCCTGAAATTGCTCGCTTACGCAACTGCTGGCAGAAGAGCACCCACTAGGAGGAGCTCAACTGAGGATATTTTTGGGCTATTCTTCCACTCCAGGTGGTCAATTGTTTGCCTAGTAGCTGGTCAACCTTGGACCTGGCATACTCAGTAGGTTTGAGCCTGGTTAATAATTAGGACTTGATTGGGTGATTCATGAGGACGTATTAGGTGTTGTACAGGCGATTCTACGAGTTTCATTTTACCAGGTAAGGCCCACTGAGCTATTTAGCTCTTTTTTAAAGCGACCTGGCCACAAATCATGGCTCAACGAAGTGACTTACCATAATGCGGCAATTTATCGCAGTCAAATACTCCAAATGTGGTTAATTGATGGCAGTGATGAGTGGTGCCACCCCCTCGTTTATGTGGTGGGTATTCTTCGGGTGTTGTGATTTTATATCACAGGCCAAACACGAATGAATTAATAACATTGGCCACAACATCCCAATGCAGGACTCTCCTCCTCCGTCAGCAGTTCTCCTGCTGTGTTTGTTTCACCTGATGACGGTTGCTTGTGTTGCGATCGAAACGTCGTGATCTATTCATTTTCTAATCTAGGTGACTTTACCGAAAGAACCAAAGAGTATGGTCTCCTGCAAGTCTCTAGCCTCAGAGAGGCCTTTCTGGGTAACTAATTGGCAGTATAAAATATATTTTTGTAAGAGCAGCAGGGCAGTGTTATTCGCAGCACGCTATGGACATGCATATCTAAGTTCGACTCGTGGCCACGGATCGTGGCATATGCTGTGCCACCCACCCCAGGAGTGTACTGCATTGCCAAAAAAATTTGAAATACTAAATTGGCTCTCACTCTTAATTACGGATACAGTCGCCAATCACCAAACGGTCTGCCGTTATGCGTGTCTGGTTTCCCAATCTTATGTTGCCAAATCACGGGGCTTAAAGGCCACCTGGATAAAACAACGCGCATCTACGATGAGCCCCATCGCTTCAACGCATCAAGTCCCGCGGCACATCTTCTACAGTGCACATGCATAATCCACTTGAGAACGATTCCATGGCGATGCCCGAGGAACCCGCCACCCACGTGGATACGGGTCGCGCCGCCAGTGGGCTGCTTAAACGCGGCAGATATTCCATGCGGGAGCGGCTCCAACGAGTTATATTCGGTGATAAATTTCCGATGTTGTGCAAGTCCGGAAAATAATCCATGAGAAATTAAGCTCCGTATATTTTTTATTTATATATATATATACGGTACGTACGCAGCATTCGTGCAGCCCCTTTAGTCAATCGATTCACTGTTTGGATGAGGGCCTTTCTCCAAGCCGTGCGGGTCCCAGGGACCGTACTTTATCACGATGGTCACTGTTGGGTGGATGATGGCGGGGAGCGTAGAAGCACCGTACAACATTGCATTTTATTGCACACTTCTGCTGCCCGTAACGTGTCCTCCCCACTTACTATATTATCGACACCCGTGCTATGCGGGGCGGTCGCACATCGAAGTGCTGTCCCAGACTCGGCACCCCCGATTTAGCTTCCGAGGTGTGGCGAGATCGAGCGCATTCCCAGTTGATTTGGTCATGAGCGTGCTGTCGCTGTGAGCCACTATCCCCGTTACGCACTGCACACTGGTACACGGACAGTATCGCTTCGACTGCGAAGCCTCTGTCGAGTTGCGCTGGCGTCGACGTCCGACGTTTCGCTTGCGCGTGCTGGAAGGCTTCTCCGGGACGTGGAGCGAAAAACGTCGGGGACATCACGTTCAGCAAGCCGCGTGGGTGCAACCCGAAGGCGCGCGATAGAGCAAAGACAAAGATCCCCCGTATAGGCTGCACAGACTGTTGGGGCAAGTGCTGTTAGCGAGCACCTATGAAGGCATGGCACGGCACACGAGGAGGTGGGTGGCCAGCACTACGCCCGACCGCTTTTGTCTCCCCAGTGGCGATGTTTTTACACACCGCACCAGGTACTCATTTGAGGCTGAGTCGACCTAGGGGAGGCCCAAGACCGGTTTAAAGTAATCGTCACTGGTGTTGGCCGTGAGCGGGAATCGAACTCGGGTCGACGGGTTCGTAGTGCAGCGCGCTAACCACTTACACTACCGCTCCACACACACGTGCACACACGTGCACACACACGTACACACACGTACACACACACGTACACACACACGTACACAAACACACACGTACACACACGAGCACACACACGTACACACACACGTACACAAACACACACACGTACACACACGTACACACAAAGATCCCCCATATAGCCTTAACAGACTGTAGGGGCAAGTGCTGTTAGCGAGCACCTATGAAGGCCGGAACGGTACACGAGGGGGTGGGTGGCCAGCACCACGTACACACACACGTGCACACACACGCGCGTGTGTGGGCGCGTGCACACACACGCGCGTGCACACGCACGTGCACACGCACACACACACGTGCACACACACGTGCACACACACACGCACGTGCACACACACGCACACAGAGACGGCGACGGATATTGTACTCGACACTCTTGAGGCAAGGTGCCGAGAGAATAATCCGATGCACCTTGTGCGCGCGCTGATGATTAATGGGGGGAGCAGGGGGGCATTAACAAAGCACTGAGCAAGGGATGCCTTACTGTGCCGTGGACTGTTTAATGCCGTGAAAAATCACGACTGCTGTTGTTTTACAGACCGCACATCTACTTAGTCGGGACTCGCCGTTCGCCTTCCCTGACAGTTCGCGGCCGAGTTGCGTGCGCAGGTGATACAGATAACACAACAGATGAATCAAGACGGATCGGCGGAATCATTGGATCTACCACCCGCGTTCACACGCAGCACAGCGATTAAATAGATGAATAAATATCCCTCCGTCATTCTCACCGCACATTTTTTTGTTCATTTTAGTCCAACAGTCGATCGAGGATTCTCAGACCAATTGTATCCAGCGGCGTTGGTTTTGAGCGCGCAAATCTTCGGATCGATTTTGACATTCAGTTCCCTTCTCGTTATCAGGTCAAAGCTTGTTAAGGAAATTATGTTTTGCGTTTGCCAGATGCTATTGACAGGAGCACTCCATATACAAATCGGAGCCCTAGGTCAACGCAAAAAAAGCAATCAATATTGCATGTTTAAAAAACACACACACCCGTTATAGTGGAGCGTTGAGTAACGTAAGCAAACACAAGTTTACTTAATATCACGTAAATTAACATCTACACAGAGAGAGAGACAGAATTAGGTTTGCTCATTCGCACGCGAAACCCACATCACAAAGCAGTTATCAATTACAAAAATAGATATTCTCCAACACCCCTGCATTCACGTTTCAACACCCAAGCTATTCCTGCATTATAACGCGCATCACAACTCAACGCATCCTCTCCATCATCATCATCATCAACAGAAGCAGCAGCAGCTGCTACAGATAGCACAACCGCATCAGTGTTAGCAAGCAGTACTTAATTAAAAGCGCATCACCACCACCACCATCATCCTCACACTCACCTGCGTGCGCTGACAGGAATACCCTGCACGCTAGAGCAAGAACCAACACATCCATGGCGATGATGCTGCTGCTGCTGCCTGTGCGAATCTCTGTTCGCCGTGAGCGCATACGGTAGTAAGCTATCGAGTCCGCCAGCGCAGTGAGCTGAGCGAACACAGGGGCTGAGATACCCCGGCAGGAGCAGGAGGAGGAGAGAGGATGGAGGGAGGGTCTGTGGGAGGGAGGGAGGGAAGAATGGAGGAGAGGAGGAGGAGGAGGAATAGGGGGAGGTTCAAGCGTGCATGAGGTGTCTCCTACCGCACACCCGGCGTTCGCTACGAGTGGTCAACGGCTGATAGCTCTTCCCGAATGCTCCGGGAGATACCATCTCCTAGGCAGCAGTAACTCTTCCCACCCCCCCCCACCTCCGCCTATCTCTCCCAACAAGCATTCAAGCAGAGGTGTAGGCGCGCATTGCTCTTTGCATGCGAAGCAAATGGACATGTTCCTAACTGCGAAGTGTCATTGTACCAACACGTTCGCCAATTACAGAATGACAAAATTCGTATCGGTCTGGAAAGCCAATAGACGCGACATTGGTGGAGACTCAGAAAGGGGCTTCTGCGTGCACGTGTGTGTTGTGTGTGTTGTGTGTGGTGAGGCAGTGTTGAATTTTGTGTTCATTAGTGTTTGTACACCACTCCTAATGCAGTGCCTATATATGATTAATTGTAATTTTAACAAAAACCTCACTTCTCAGTGTAAGCGAAAACGTGACGCAACATAGCTTTCAATGTTAACACAAGTGGTCATGCTTGTCTGTATAACCGCATGCACATGGTTTTTAGTTTATGCATTTACAATTGATGTCTAAAACAAAATAACACCCGGTAAATGTTTATTACTAACACATTTATATTGCTTTTGGTTTGCGTGGTTTTTTTCCTTCTTCTGTATATACTGTGTGGTTGCTTTGTGCAGCGTTTTTATTTACATTTAAATTATTGCTGTTAACTTTAAAGCAGCTCAATTATTTCCGCCGTGCAAGCTGTCCGGATCGGTGTTTTTTTCTTTATAGCAGCACCTCTTAAGGCTGACATGACATGCGGTTGTGGGTGCGCGTGTGGGGAGCCGTGGTGCAGAGCCGTGGTGCAGAGGATACGAACCCGGCCAACACCACTAACGATTATCTGAACCGGTCCCGGGTGTCCCCTAGGTCGACTCAGCCTCAAATGAGTACCTGCTGCGGTGTGTAAACATCGCCACTGGGGAGACAAAGGCGGACGGGCGTGGTGCTGGTCACCCACCCTCAGGTGCGCTGTACCAGTTTTCATAGGTGCTCGCTAACAGCACTTGCCTGAACAGTCTGTTCAGGCTATACGGGGGATCTTTGTATTTGTCTTTGTGAGGGGAGCGGTGATGCAGCGATTCGGGCGCTGCGCTACAAACCCGGCTAGCACCAATGACGATTATCTAAACTGATACCGGGCTTCCCCTAGGTCGACTCTGCCTCAAATGCGTACCTGGTACGGTGTGCATTAAACATCGCCACTGGGGGAGACAAAGGCTGCCGAGCGTGGTGCCCTCCCCCCGTGTTGCCATGTCGGCCTTCAAAAGTCTAAAGACGATACCGGGGGCTTCTTTGTCCTGTGCGGGCAGCACTTGATAAGCCTGGTCATCTTTGTTTCTCAAGAGCTGCTGGCCGTCACCACACCGCTGCTCCGAGGTCACGCCGACCTAGGCGTGTTTGTACTTAATACACGCTGCCCGTTGAGTGCCCTGTGCGGTGGCATAGAGCGGTGATCGGAATGGGACCCTGGTGCAAGAAATTAACGCGGGGGGCCACCTTGTCCAATCGAAGGCCGCCCCACCCCCCAAGCTATTGAAACACCGATCATTAATAATATAACCTGCAGTCGCTTTGAGCCCGCTGAGCACTGGGGCAGTTACACCGCCTGCACACTCGATAGACCTACGGCCACAACGCTATGGGCCACTGGAGTTTGCTGCGAATGTGGGATGACCATTATTACGCCAGTCTTCCCCAACACACTGGCCCATATTTTAATTTCGTGTCGTATGCACTCACTCCGTTGCACTGTACTGCGTAAATACATCGGCAAATATGTAATGAATGGCATGCAGAATTTATGTACGTGTAATGATTGCCACGGGGATTTTTTTTTAATATATATCAAATAAATACAATTTGCTTTTACACCACACGCACGTAGCTGGGTTGGTTGGTCCCATCGCATTGTGAGATGTAACGCACAGAGATGAGTTAACGGTGTGTGCAAAATAGCTTTTTTATACATTATTCATGTACTGCTTTTAAAGTGCAGAGAGAAGCTTGAAATTACATTGTTGTGACGTGAAATATGCCCCCCCCCCGTTTCTGTCTGTCTCTCTCATTCTCCAATCCGACAATGGTACTACCAGTACTACTTACTGTGGTTATTTTCTCGACTTTCTTTACGCGCAAAAGCGTGTGGCTCAAGTGCTCGAGAAGAAGAATGCGGAGCGGTGATTCCTAACCTGAGCTGCGAGATGAACCTTTCTGGGGGTGCGAGACATGCCGGATTTTTTTTTGAAGGGAAATAATCGAAAACGCAAATTAGGCAAGCGCACGTAAGCACCACTACTTTGTTTAATAAAACCTATGCATTTATTAACATTATATAAAAAATAATATATAAAGAACCAAAGGGGTGCAGGGTGCAGTGAAGCTTAAGTACCACTGCTCTGGAGGATCTGGAGGAAAAATAACAACCCCCATAAACTAACGAACAATTCCCAGAACCACGAAATAGAGGAACAGAGGGAGAGACGTCCACTGCCCGAAAACCTTCGTTTCGATCACGCAGCTGGGGAAGAATACAGCTGCGGTGGCCGGAGCACGAGGTTAAAAGGGTACATGCAAGGGGTTGGATTTAGAGGCACACACTGCCCTCAATCTATCCCGCGCTGCAGAGTGCTCGCTGCTCAGGGTAGGAGCCCCCCCTCCCCCCCATCTCACCTCCCATCTCTCTCTCTCTCTTCAGATGACAAAGGTCGCAGTCAAAACCCAGGTCACTGGGACAAAAACGAAGTGCATTAACTGCCAACGCGATATGAACCTGGAGCATTCAATTGTTGTTTGCGTGCCATTTCCTTCTCAAAAGGCACGAGCCCAAAGGCCGATTTATTTCAATTTACCAAAGGCAGTTTGAAGGAAGTTAAGCGATATGGGAGGTTGTATCATTCCCCGCCCTCGGCCCGGTTCGCCGCACAACCCAAAACCACATCGCCACTATCTTCATTTCATTCTTTCAAATTTTAGTAAGTGCATCATTGGAACATTAGATGGAGGTCAGAAATTGCTTTGGGGAAATTGAGAAGGGTAATGCGAATTGGGCTGGCTCTGTGCAGGTTGTGTGTGGTCTCTTGTACCTTCCGCCGTTGCTCTCGTTCGCTCGCTCGTAGACGTAAAGGATTGCGAGATGCTCACGGCATTAGCAGAGCGATGGAAGTTCATGCCAGAGCCAATATAAATGGGCGCATTGCTTTAACTGTTATTCCCTGCGCACAACTGAAACCTCTTTGCAAATAAGATATATGTATATATATCGCAGCCCTTTGTCCATCCCCTGCTCACATAGTTTAACCATGCCTCGCCACGGCCGGTAAGCGCGGATTGGGGGGAAAGGGAAGTTAGGCCCAAGACCGATTTAGATATTACTCACCACTTCTAATTTCAACTTGTGGCCGTTTCAACTTGCAAGGAACCACGGTTTTCGGATCTCTCTCGGAGACAAAGACCGGCTCAGAAGTGCGAAGCGTTAGGCCATTGCCAGGAATTTGAACTCGTGCGCGTGCACACTCCGCGCTGTACGGCTAATGAACAATGCCACGCGAAGGCGTAATAAATAGATGGCAGACAGGACTATTGACTTGTTGAATAAGAATAGACGCTTTATATTGTGTGCAGCTCAATGAGCAGAGAGCGAGAGAAAGAATGGATGCAGAATACAGAGAGACCATTAAAATAAACAGTAAAAAAATGCATTTGGTGGCTTTAATTTGCACCACGGGAACTAAGTAATAGCTTGGGCAATAATGCTACATTCGAGTTCAAATTCATCGCTCTGAAATGTGTTTAAGGAGTATAGCCAAGAACTCCCGACATATCACAAGCCACACAGAAATATGTAAGTAAATTAATTAATACCAAGGGTAAGAAGAGCACGGCGTTTTTTTGTTAGATTTTAAACAAAAAATGTTTTCCCCCCACAGTGATATTAATGGTAGTTTCACAGGCCAAGCGCGACTATATTCATCATTGTAGAACAAAAAATGCAACCGGGTAATAGAAACATTTTGAGCAATCATGGGCACGCTGGCCGGTAGGAAGCAACGCCGGCTCGGGCTGGAACCAGATTGAACATTCCATTTATTCTTGTTAGGAGGAGACCTTTGAAAAATCAGATAACAGTTCACAATGCGCCATTTATTTCGCTCTCCTGTTTTAAAGGTGAAGCCGCAGACAAAGGGGAGGGTGAAGAGCGGGCGGCCGGTTTCACCCCTCGGTGAGTGCGTCACGTGGCTTCATTGCACGAAGTAGATACCCCCCCACCCCCCCGTCTGGAGATGTCTATCGGTAGAGCTGGTCAATGACCACGAGAATGAGATGAAAAACACTGAGAGCGAATTTTTTTTCTCTTTTTGGGACTTTCAGGAAAAGTCACGTAGAAGGAAAATAATAATAATAAAACATAATAAAAATAAAATAATTCTCACGACGTTTCGGCCACAACGCAAGCAGCCGTCTTCAGGTGGAGAACAGGTCTGTCGAGAAGGCAGAGTCTGAATGACAGCGAACACAAGCTTAATTAATGCATCTGAATTGTCCGGGAAGATTTAAACATAAATTACTGGTTTTTTTTCTCTCTCTGGATAAATTAAACAAAGCCCTGCTGCGTGAAGGCTGTGTCGTTCATGAGGGTTGTTATGACCATACTTCACCACGCTGGTCAGTGTGGGGAGGAGGGGGGGGGGTAACCCAGAACCGGTTCAGAAAATTCACTCGATATTGACGTTAGCCGTGGCCACGAATCGAACCCAATTCCCCAGGCTCGTAGCACCGTGCAGATAACGAGCTGCCTCTCCACACATAACGCAACAGCTCCGTAATGTAGTCAACATTTAGGAAATAAATAAATAAATGCTCACGTCTTTTGTTGAAACGACAGATAAAAAT